CTGATACAATGGAATGCAGAGCTGAAATGCGTTTAATGCGAGTCCGCCTATCCGTTTTTTGCCGTATGCCAATGGCATAATTCGACGACGTTGGACATGCATCAAACACGCTGAGCTACGGAGCATCAAGTTAGCACGGGCTTCCCGCAATATGCCTTGCTGCTTACGGACAGGTTCGCGCCTGATCCAGCATCAGCCCTGCACTGAGCGAACCCCACCACGCTGCCTATCCCCGTGGCGATCAGCAACCCTTGCAGCAACCCGTCTATTCTGGCAAACAGTGAGTAGTGCTCTGTAGCCTGGTCACCCAATATCATTGCAGTGAATTCAAGTCAGCAAGAGCATGCTTTGGGGCGGAAATCATCAGTCGTATCCCCGGATTTCCTCAATCTCGTCGGCGGAGGCCGACGCAGCGTGAGCCATGAAGGTAAGCAATCCTGCGTTAAAGTGGACAAGGATCAAGCCTGCTTGAGCAGCGTGTCCTGATAGTGGGGTTCTGGAAAACTGTCCCCGGTACGTACCGGATACCAAGCTTGCATGCTCAATGTCCCGGTCGAAAGCCTAAGCATACCGTTGTCGGGCGGCACTAGCGTCTTGTCTTCAGCGTGAGACTTGACCTCGTCGATATCTCGTCCAGGTCGATAAGGTACTTAATTATGGGGCCTCATCATTAGCTGCCGTACCGCCTGATCTCGGTGACCTGGCCATGTTCGCCATAATGGGCACCTTGGTTCGTTGAAACAAGACGAGATGCTTCAGAGCTACCTACCTAAGTCGAAGGCTCTCTCCAGCCCCACATCCATGTCACGGAACCGTCCGGTCATGGCAAGAACTCCAAGACCACTGATGTCCCTGCCCTCCCAGGTCCTTCCTTCACCAGGAAGGCGGCTTGGAAGGTGCTTTCCATGCAAAATGCTAGCTGTTTCTGCCGTTCCTGCCTGCCAGCCTCACATGTACCGAGTACCTTACCGGGCTTTGTTTGTCCTAAAGTGTACCTGCTTGAAGAAATTCAGCTTATGCCTCATGCTGGTCACGCCGTTTGCTTATCCCACCAGAGCTTCTTCCCTCTTTTTCGAGGCAGATTTCCATGATCTTGTGTGCTTTCAACCTGACAATCTTTGCTCTTTCAAACAGTCAAGTCGTGGCTCTCACTCGGACATCACCAGCGCCTCTTCACCCTCGCTCCGTACTCTATACTGGTCACGCTCGCAAAATTCCACGTCTTTCGAGCGCCTCCCGGGTGCATCTCGCCCAGTCAGGCACACCAGTCCTACAGCCACCAAAACGAGGTCCTCTCTTTAAGCTCTTGGAACGTGGCAATTTCTAAGGCTGCTTCTGCCTGCTTTTCTGCATATTTCATTTACCATATCGCTGGTTCTGCACCGTTCCCCCTCTCCACGATACCCCATTACTTTCCTGTCTTTGTGATACCCAACAACAACGCGCGCCATCATGGTCGACACCTTCGACAAGCTCGCCATCAGCGAGCGCAAGATCATCGTCGGCATCGACTTCGGCACCACATATTCCGGCGTCGCCTGGGCGGAGACACAGCGCGCCGATCGACGGACGGCCATCACTACCTGGCCCATCAGCAAGACGGTCCGCGAGGGCGAATCCTCAGACAAGGTTCCCACCAAGCTCAGATATGCCGGCGACGAGATCCAATGGGGCTTTTCCATTCCCATCACTGCGCCTCAGGATGAAGTTGTCGAGTGGTTCAAGCTGTGAGTCAACTGATTCTGGAGACGTTGACACTCGCCAGCAGGCTGTACTAATACTTCGCAGCGATCTTGATCCCTCCCTCCAAAGCATGGGACAGGCCGTCTCTTCGGAGGCTAGGGGTGGTCGAAACGTCGACAAATTGGTCACTGACTACATCTCTGCTCTTGGCGAGCACCTCATGTACACACTGAGGGAGAAGCTTGGCGAACAGGTCGTCACAACAACCCCCCTCGAGTTCGTTGTCACTGTCCCCGCCATTTGGTCCGATCTAGCCAAGGAGAAGACGAAGCAAGCGTGCCAGAAGGCCTCGGGTCTGTCCAGCTCCAAGTCACCCATCCACCTCGTCTCTGAGCCCGAAGCGGCAGCCATCTACGCCCTGCACGGCCTCGACCCTCACGGACTCAAGGTCGGCGACACTGTTGTGGTAGTCGACGCTGGCGGTGGTACGGTGGACTTGATCTCCTACACAATCACCGGCCTGAAGCCTATTCTGGAGGTCCAAGAGGCTGCTCCAGGATCGGGTGCGTTGTGTGGCTCGACCTTCCTGAACATGCGCTTCGCGAAGTTTCTCAAGGCGAAGCTGGGCAAGGAAGAGGGCTTCGACGACGAGGTGATGGCAGAGGCCATGGAGCAGTTCGAGAAGAAGGTAGGCTTTTTGCTCGACTAGAGCAGCTGATACTGACAACGCGCAGGTCAAGCGTCAGTTCACCCTGGGTGCTGCCCCGGACGAAACCTACACGATTCCCGTCGGCGGTCTCAACAACAACCGAGAGCTTGGGATCAACCGTGGTCGTTTCGCCCTAAAGGCATCTGACCTGCAGACCATCTTTGAGCCCGTGGTTCTCGAGTGTATCAAATTGGTGAAGGACCAGATCACAACCAGCGGCGTCCCCATTCGGGCCGTGCTTCTGGTCGGTGGCTTCGGCGCCTCCAACTACCTCAAGGAACGCTTGCGCAACGCTATCGACAGGAACATTCAGATTATGCAACCTCCTAACGCCTGGCAAGCTGTCGTTCAAGGTGCCGTCATGAAGGGACTTGCTCAAGTATCTCCCGACCGTCTTACTCAGGTTCGAGTTCAGAACCGGAAGGCTCGCAAGCACTACGGAACTGAATGGCGCACCAAGTACGACCCCAAGCTCCATGGCCATGTTGAAAGCAAGCGTCACTGGTGCGGCCTTGATGGCTGCTACAAAGTGTATACAATGGAATGGTTCATCCAGCGCGGAGACAACGTCTCAGAGAATGAGCCGTTCTACACGTCTTTCGTGTGGACTGGTCTCGTCAGCCAGGGCCGCATCAAGAAGATCAAGATGGATATCTACGCCGATCGCACACCTCGAACGGCTCCCGTGGCCCGCGACGATAACGTCTCCATGCTAGTGCACGTTGAGGCTGACGTCAGTCACATCCCGGAGAACATGCTCGCACGTCGCCAGGGGTCTGATGGACAGTGGTACTACGAGCTGAGCTGCAAGATCGAGGCGATGTATCTGTCCGCCTCGACAACCTATACACTACTATACAACAGTAAGTCTCGCTTGCCCTGAATACTTGACGCATGGTCACTAACAGTCCGCAGACTCTCGGTACAACACAGTTACTGCGGAATATGTTTGATTGTTTGGAGACGGATATGTTGCAACTGTAAATGGGTCGTAGTGTGGCAGAGGGCGTAATTCGTAATCAGTAACTGGGTCTTCTATGTCTCCTGCGTGACGCAGAGAGACTCTGGTGAAGTATTTCCCTCCCTGGCACCATGACACATAGCCATAGTGGAATTAACTGTCAATTTTAATGGTCATTCTTGTGTGAAGCCGTGCTGCTCGACATGTTTTCCTCTGTGCTTTCGTCCCAAGACATTGCCTCGAACCACAACGGCATCGTGCAAGGACACTTTCACTCACAAATTACCTTGATGACAATCGATCCCCATAACAAGAACATTAGTAAAGTCAAGAACCATGTCCTTGATCATTTTCATCATAAGTACGAATACTGAATGTTCCATGCCGCTGGTGGTTGGCTGCAAGGCGAGTGTGGTCCTTTTATCCCCCGTCAATGGTAAGACTCACGCATTCGAAACCTTTCAAGATCAAGTATTCTCTCCTCTGACTGGCGTCTGGGCAGCTGCTACATTCACATCCCCCTGCACGGACGAGACTCAAACATTCAGAACACTTCAAGGCCGGGCATCTTGTGCGATGTTTTCGGAAACCGAGACGTCTGCCCACCCCGCCGCCAATCTGTGGACGCTTGGACCTGGGGCAGCAGGGTGGCATGACCTCGGTGTTCACCTTCTATGATTGGTGCTGTTGAGAATCTTGGACCGGTAGAGGGAATGATGCTTCGCCCATGGATTGAGGTCTTCGTTTGGCAGGATTTCGTGACCATAAACGTAAGTAATAAGTAAGAATGACGAAAACAGCACACGGAGGGGGCCAAAGGTCGATTTGCAGGCCGTGGTCAATACTTGGCATGACGATGAATGGTCAAGGAGCAGATTGAAGGACTGGAGTCTGGACTTCTGAGCGCTGAACCAAGCGTCGTAGGCTCTAATTGGACTTTTTTTCCTGGGCTTTCCTTAGTGGGTATCATCGATTCCAGCTTCATGCATGAACTAACATTCTTGGTCTCGTCTATAACTACATTGCTTAACGCCATCTTGTCCGTGTTCCCCCTTTCTAGTTTGTGACTCCTTACATCCCTTACCCAAGTTTCAAACGGCCTTATAGCAATGTTCACAGTGATTCAAAGTCTAAAGCTCGGAGATGGCAATGGTAACGCCTGATCGAAATACGAGGCTCCTAGTTATCGAGTCATTTGCGCAGGGTTATTTTGCTGCGATTTGTGTCACTGATACGTTGATAACATATAATGTTTTAGTAAACGCAAACCTTAGCCATTAGAGCGCCCTGGAGATCACTTCCAGACGAGATCCCACCGGTTTCTGCCCGTCGGTCTTCGCAAGAAGGCCCCTTCTTCAAACGGCCTCATGACTCTACGACTTTATCACATTAGAGTGTCTTTAGGTGAGGTATAGAGTTCTTGTAGTTCACCTGAAACTTTCTTGAGTTTAGGGCGGACAGATTGGACTCGCAGCATTATCCAGCTGGTCATGAGAAGGTATGCTTTCTAACTTGGGTATAAATGGTCACTGTTCACTCCGTGTCATTAAGCTCGGATGCATTAAACTCAGCCTTTTGCTATTTGCGCAACTTTGCGGATTCTAAGACCCTATCTTTATAAACCCTACCGTATGAAAAGCCTTCGCCATGCGCCCCGTCTTGATTCTATCTCTCTTCCTCGGCGCCGTCATGGCCATCGACGTAAGTCATCTCCTTCAACTAAGTTACTGGCGAGTATTACTGACATTCTTAGAAACCCCCCCCCCCGCGCCCCACACGCCGTCCAAGCCAGAACTGAACCAGGCGCAGGCCACGCCCTCCGTCATAAGGGACTCGTATACAAACGAGAGGGCAAGGGGAAAAAGAGCCAGCCGAAAAAACCAAGCCAAAAGCCAGGTCAACGTCCTGATCCCCCTCGTTTCCCTGGCGGTGGTCGTAATTGCGCCTCTGGTAGGCTCACCGGCCCCATCATCGTTTTGATTTATGAGGACAAAATATCTGAACGGACTCTATTTATCTAGGCATCAGATGGTCTGAAGAGAACACTATTGCAAACTCGGGAAGCGATTTCTGGGCCGGTGATCTAGTCGGGAATAGACATAAACAGCGGAAATAACAGGGCAGAAGGGAAGTAGTAAACAGATTTGACCCAAGCTCGACAAACGTTTCCCGAATCATAGATCGACAATAGCAATAAGGATTGACCAGGGACAGATTGCCTCAGGACACAAAGTCTGGTCTTGTACTTATATTACCGTTTGTAAAGAATGATCTGAGTTTAGCTTGAGGGCAACCTACCATAGGTCCTCAGTAACCAGTTGTGATGTCAATTATAAATGCGCTCATAAAATGCGCTCATTGGACAGACTGTAAAACGCCTCAGTGAAGTCGTATCAAACTCATACTATACTATCGTCTTCATTAATAGAAGGTTTACGCTTAATTTGAACAGCAACCTAGTCGTAGAGGGAACTTTTTGATGTGACTGGTCGGAGATTACAACCGAATGGTTTTTCTCCGACCGAGTCAGTTTCGTAGCGACAACGGCGGCCATAACAGGTGGCTTCCCTGACCCATATGTAAAAGAATGCTCATGATCAGATAATTCCGGAGGCGATGACAAGGAGAATATCGGATGCCGATATATAGTGGTGACCCACGGAGGGGCGGCATCTTGACGGGGCAGATTGGGGTTCGTCCTAACAATCAGGCAGACTGCGAGGGTAGCAGCAGTATACGAAGCGTGGGCTGATACTGACAAATTGACTTGGATGTGTATTGTGTACATATCCCTGAGAACTAGCAAAACTCTGTGCGTGGGTTTTATAGAGCTTACTATTCTCACTAAGTAGATTATCTATTTATTTAGTCCTCCCCTAGTAGCTAAGAAGTACTAATTTAACCCTTATAATCTAATATACCCCCTTAGGGATAATTACTATAATTATATAGTTATCCCTATAACTTAATTAAGTACTTCTAAATAACTTTAATTATTTCTTATTATTATAATTTTAGTTATTTTATAAGTTATAGAATAATAGTTTTTTTATTATAAGTAGTTAGAGTAATAAAATAAAATACTATTTATTTTATTTAATTAATTTAAAGTTTCTAATTAGTTATAATTTTACTTATTACTTTAGCTTTTTCNAAAAGTAAGAGGGTAAATTAATAATATTCTACTACCTTTACCTCTTATTATTTTTCTTCCTTTTTTCTTTTAGTTTTTTAAGAATTTATAAATTATATATTAATTTTATACTATTCTTTTTATTACTATATTAATATTTTAATTAAGTAGATTAAATATTTTATAATATTTTTTTATAATACTTTTAATATTAAGTATAAGATTTATCTTAATATTATATTTACTAATTATATATATACTTCTAAGACCTCTAAGTTCTACTATTTTTATTATATTAGTTTTTTCTCTTTTATTTCTTTTAATAATAAGGAGGAGGATAAACTACTCTTTTTCTTAGGTTTTAGTTATTAGTTTTATCTTTTTTTATAACTCCTTTCTATTATTAATCCTTCTCTTTTAGTTACTATTATCTCCTCTACTATATATCTTATTAGCTATAATAAGTATTTTATTTTTAAACTTATTAAAGAGGAGAACTTTAATAATAATAAAATTAAAGAGACTTTTATTAAGAAGAAGTATAGCTACTTTTTTAATACTTAGTATTAAATTAAAAAAGAAATTAAAGAGAAGAAGGAAATTAAAGAGGTTAAAGTTCTTATTATCTCTTTTATTAAATAAAAAAAAAAGGATTATACTACTACTTATTTTATTTAGTATATTACTATTAAGAAGAAGAAATAAGAAGAAGAGGAAGTAGCTTTTTAAGTTATTTATATTAATATAGAGGTTATTACTAATAAGGAGATTACTACTATTATAAATAAAGAAAAAGAGGAGGAGAGTAAGGTTATTATAAGTATTAGTAACTTTTTTAACTCTATAAACTTCTCTTTTAAATTAGAAAATAAACTTTATTTTAGTTATTCTCTCTCTTTTAGTAGAGGTTATTTATACTTTAGTTACTACTTTCTTAGTAAGAATACTTATTATTACTACTATATAAAGGGTAGTAGTTACTTTATAAGTATTAAAAAAACTATTACTCTCTATTATATACTTTATAAAATAAAAAAGTATATTAAAAGTAATAAGTCTATCTTAGTTAAAATATAAGTTATCTCTTACTAAATATTTCTATATAGTTATTAATTTCTTATAGAGAATTAGTATTACTTAAAAAGATTTTTAAGAAGTAGTTTATAAAATTATTATAGTTTATAAAGTTACTAAAAAAAAAAGTATTACCCTTCTTAAATATACTTTATATATTTATTACTCTACTTTAGCTCTTATACTTCTTATTATTATATTTCTTATTATTATACTTCCTCTTTATTTAGAGACTTTAGTTTATACTTCTCTTATTCTTTTAAGTATTTTCTCTAGTTTTTATTCTATTTTTAGTTATATTTAAAATACTATTATAACTACTTATTATAACTTTAATTATACTCTCCTCTATACTTCTAAGTTTAGCTATATTAACTTTAAAAAGTTCTATAACTAGTTTAATACCTTTAAATTAGCTATCTCTTTAGTTATTTTTTATAAAGTTATTTTTTTTATTCCTACTCCTAAAGGTATTTAAATATTTTTATTTTATAATTTTTTAATATCTTAAAGACTTTAATTTAAGATAGTTCTACTTTTAAGTTTTAAATTTATAAATATTTAGTCTCTTTAGTAGTTTTTCTATTTTAAATAGAAGTTTTTTTATACTCTCTTTTTTTTATCTTTATAACTCTTTATACTTATTATATAAAGTTATTCTAAATATCTTTTTTTTCTATTTCCTTTTTTTAGTTCTTTTTATCTCTTTTAAGTTTAGAAGTATAGTTTTTTTTAAGAGTTTCTTTTTAACTAGTTATTCCTAGTTATACCTAAAAGTTTTTAAAAATTTACTATAAGAGGGATTTTATAAAACTATTTACTATTAGCTATATAAAAAGAGTATATATTATTAATATATATTTCTTATAGATCTCTTAATAAAACTAGTAGTTATAGATATTAATATAGTATAACTTTATTTAGAGATAGATAAACTTTTTAGTAATTAGCTTAACTATCTATTAATTATTATATTAGATTTATATTATTATAAAAGTACTTTTTATAAATTAAAAGGATACCTCTTAGCTTATTTCTCTAAAAAGTTATACTTAGAGAGAGGTTATAAAGTAGTTTATAAATATTACTTCTTAAACTATAAATAAAAATAAGAGTAGCTCTATTTCTATAGTTAAGGTTATTATAGTAGTTTATTTACTTACCTTTTATATAATAATACTTTTAAAAAGCTTTATTATAAATCCTTAGGAGCTTTTTTAATTTAAGGTATTATTACTAAAACTTATATTAGAGGTTACTTTAAAAGTATTATATAGGTTTTTAGCCTTAACTCTATACTTAATATATAAGTAGTATATCTTATAGAGATATTATAAGGTTTAATTTATAACTTATTAGTGTTTTAGTTTAGGATTCTAATTAAAATAAGCTAAATAACTTATTATAAATATAAAGTTTAGTCTTATTATTACTACTATATATAAGATAATCCTTACTTTTCTCTAATAGAGATTAACTTTACTATTTAAAGCTTCTTTTTTATATAAAAGTAACTTAGTATATCTTATTAGGGTTCTATTCTATATCCTTAGAGAGTATCTTAATAGAAAGAGTTTTCTTACTTTTTCTATATAAATAGCTTATAAAAACTAAAGTCTTCTTATTTTTTAATTATAGAGAACTTTAATATTAAGAAACTATTATAGATTTTTATTACTTTTAAAGTAGTATCTCTTTTAGAGTTCCTTAATTACTTTTTTAGTTTCTTTTTAAGAGGCTTTTAAATAAATAAATATATAGTTATCTATATAGAAGAAGAAATATATTTAACTTTTCTTTTAATAGTAGTCCTCTCTTAATACTTATAAGAAGTTTAAGTCTTTTAGTCCTTTCTTAAGATAATACTATTATAAGAAGGGAAATTAATAGAGTTTATATAAAGCTTTTTTAAACTTAAATACTTTTTTAGGTTTTTTATAACTAAGTAAGAACCTTATATATATTATCTTATTAAGCTTAATATATATAAATATATTTACTATATTATATTAGAGAAGTTTTAGGTTAAAGTAGTTTACTATTATTATTAGAGTTTAAAATAATATATCTATAAGTATTATAGTATAAGTATTTTAAGTATTCTTTATTTATTAATCTCTTTAAATTACTAGCTAAGTTTTTAACTTTATAAGTCTACTATACTTATTAAGTTTATAAGTATATACTTAGTAGTATTTAAAAATTTATTAATTTTCTAAAGTATTTCTTATAATTTCTTTTTATAACTTAGACTTCTTATAACTTTATAGGTAAGATTTCTCTACTTATAAGAAACCTTTTACTAGAAAGTAGTAGTTAAATTCTAAGAGATTATATTTCTTCTTATAATTTAGTTATTCTTCTTAATTTAAGAGTTATTAATATAATATTAAGAGGGGAGGTAACTCTTACTAATAGGTGTTTATAAGGTATAAGTATATAGATTAAGTTACTCTTAATAGGAGGAAGCTTCTAGAGGATATTTTATACTTCTCTAAGCTCTTTTTAGAGGCTTTTAAGTTTCTAATCTCTACCCCCTTACTTTATAGCCCTTCTACTATATCTATAAATTAATCTACCCTTATAGCTATATAAGGCTAGCTAAGCTATATATATAAACTATTTAGGCTATTTAGTCTCTAGAGAGTATAAAGATTCTTATATAAATTACTTCCTACTAAGAAAGTAGCTTTAAATAAAGTTCTAAAAGTTATTTTTATTATTAATAAGTTTATTTCTTACTCTTTTATATTAAAAACTCTTTAAAAAGTTT